TACAAGAAGCTAACCACTGTGTTAATTTCAGTTTCTGAAGATTCCTTATGAAGCCTTTTAAGTTTAAGAGGCAATTCATTCATGGACTGTGCCTCATCAGTTTTGACAAGTGCCCTTCGCTGACTACTCATGCAAGTACCAGCACTGCACTCTCTTGACTAGCTACTCTTTGTGTAGTAATCTTGATGAAGAGCCTCTAGGATTTATACAATGGCATAATAGTGTTTTCAGTTTGGTTCTCTATGCCCTTCCTGACCATTCATAACATTGACTCTGCTTTCTTTTACTTTTTTTGTCAGCTAACATTTTTCATGCCTTTCTGCATCCTTTGTCACATCTGATTGTTGAGAAAATGGATAACTGCCTGCCTTTCAATATATGCCTCTTTTTACATCAAAAATTAAAGTAATAAAGTTTTAATAATTTTACACTTAATTTAGTGCCCAAGTATTTTTTAAGCTGTTTTCTTTAACTTACAGGAAGAGATAGGCACTGCGTATAGAAGAAAGTTGAGCTAACAAGATTGCTCACTCTTCCCACTGCCTGCCTGAATTAAGTATCTTTGTCAACTACTGTAAATGATGGACATCAGGTTATTTCACTCCCAACTGCTGACATCCAGCACCTTCTTGAAACAGGTGAGTACAAGAAATTTGGCTTAAAGTGTAGTAACTAATCTGGAAGAAACAAGATTGGTTTAACCAAAGTGTGTGACTGGCTATCTAAAAACACCATCTGGAAGTTCCTGATTGTGAACACCTTTACACTGAAATGAAAGAACGTGATCAGCAAATACTGGCCATCTTTACTTTTTTATTAACATGAGGTACTAAGGGATAAATTACTAATGTCTCTGCCAATTGCGGCCTAAGGCAAACATTTTCTGTTTATTAAAAATCTATCAACAAAGGAATTCTTTATAGCTTTACCTTTTTAAGCTAAAAACATGTCAGAGATATTAATGCCTGTACTTGACCACTAACTTTTATGGATGTCATCATAATCATAATAATAAAAATATGGCAGCTAATAACCATTAATTCAAGAACAGTGTCATTGTCTGAAAGTAATCTTCTCTGTAATTTTTATACCTCTTTAGTATACTACTCTCAGGGTTTAAAGAAACCTTGATTAAGTCAATCAAGTATCACTGAGGATTTGAAACTAAAAATTTGTTACAGAACAACACTGTTAATTTTTTGCATGTTACTCCTACAAGTCTTTCTGACACTTCAAAACCAGAATTTTACCTCGAATGTGAACCTCAGCTTCCACCACAAGCTCAGAATAGCCATCTAGAATAAAAATCTTTTTCATCCTATCTGACTTAAAGTGAATAAAGAAGTTAATTTAAAAAAAGAAAAAAATGAAGTAGAGCTAACTTACAAATGTAATTTCTACCCATAACAGCCAGTATCCTCTTATAACACACAGAACTTGGAATCAGTCAATCCCATGCAACTATTCAATTGTTGAATGGAAGAACATGGGGTTTGGCAATCAAACCCCACCTGTCAATGCAACCAGCATCAAATCACAGGCTGACAGAGCAGAAGGGCATTTAGACAACATGAAATAAAACCTACCTGTTGAACATCCTGTTGAAAAACGCATAGCTGAAGCCGCTGGTGCAAGCGGACCTTTCGATGCTGCCAAATATTTTCCAGCTGGCGCTGGTGGTGCAGTACTTCATGGATGACATCCAGAACATGATGAACTGCTTTGGAGTAGTTGGCAGAAGCAGTGAGGGAATCGGAACTCCCAGGAGTCAAAGGTCTTTGAAGTTTGTCAAGCAGTGACTTTCCATCTTGGCTCACCTGACCACCGGAAAGGACGAAGAATTACTTGCCTTGCCAAAAGATTGTTAGACTATTATTTCATTCTCCACCCCCTCTCCCCATTTTAGATGTCTTTAGGAACTCAGGGAGCAGTGATGAAGATTTTTTTTTCCCAGGCATGATTACATGCAGCTGTTATAGAAAAAAAAATATATATAAAAAAATGTATATTCTCCCTCTATGTAAGACAATTTTAAGAAGTAGCACTCTTCCAAATAACAGCCCGTCTTTCAATTTTTCGATTACCTTAAGAGTGCTTTTCCTTTAAAGTGATTTTTTTTTTTTAAAACAAGTCTAACTTAGAATAAATATTCTTCAGCTCTTTCTCTAGTTAACAAAGCACCTAAAATTAAGCATTTGCCCAGTATTATCCTTCCAGGAGCACCCCTCTCTTTTCATATGCTGCAAAGGTGAACAGAGAGGTTACTTTCTATAGGTTAATATTAATTTCAGGAATATATTTAGACCAACAGATACAAACTTAGGACATGCTTTGATCTCACACGATTTACAACTACTAAATTATTAGTGTTACTGGTAAGCCAAAGGCAAACTGTTGTTATGGCAAAATTAAACCTGATTAAATCACTTAAAACCTTTCCACGCAGCAAAGAGACTCTTTTCCAAAATGTGCTTAACTACCGATGGTGACAAGAAACCTTAGTCATTTCTAACTCTTGTCTTCTCTGATTCAAACCACAGCAAAAATAGTCAGATTTCCCCTGCATGCTAATTAAAAAGCAATAATCCTACCTTATCCAGTCACTATTAATGTTTAGTACTTGCCAAGGCTGTTGAAAGCACTTTTCATTGCTGTTTAACTATTCTGTCACTTTTAGCATGAAGCTCAGAACTGTTACAATTCAGTATCATTCAGCTATCTGTAAAGAACTTTTCTAGTAGCTCATCTAAAAGGCAGGAAAAATTCATCTGAAACCACAAGACTGGAGTGTAAACAATAGCCTGAATCCATCGAATCAACACCACGTCAGAAAGAAAATTTGTCAAGGCCTTCCCCCAGTGGCTACTTTCACTAACTTTCACTAACCTAGGCACATTTAAAATTTGCTATTCAGTAGTCAAACAGATCTGAATTAGAAAAGAATTTTCATACTTAGTTTACAAGTGAGTTTATTTCTCAGTTCCAATTTCAGCTTTTTCATTTTAGTAATAAGTATCAACACAGAGAAGAAAGCTCACTTGGAAAAGTAGCTCCTATAAAGTCAAGTCAGGCAGAAAAAGAGTATAGTCCACAGTAGCTATTATAATGATGTTTTTTTTTTTCCTTTTCTGCATCCAAAGCAATTATCTTGTACAAGTCTTTCAAATATTTCAAGACGGGGGGGATTAATTGTGACAGCCCCTTGATCTGATTAGTTTATTAGCTTTACAAACAAACGATCATGTACATCTCCTCTTTGGAGTTAGCATGGTAAAGTTTTCTTCCTTCCCAGTGCATGACTACCTTAAGATTTCAGTGAGATATATAACTTCATGTATATATACAACTTCATTTAAGGCACAGCTATTGGATTTTCAAACACACCAGTTATCTAAGCTTGTAAGCTAGTAAGTAACTTTTCTAGTAATATACAGTAATTATCCTCAGTAAAATCAGACTGTCTAGTCTTAAAAGCATTTACTCTCTTAAAATTAGTCTTCTACTTTGCAACCAAGTCGTGCTGTCAAGACATTGTAACCTAAAATGAATGACAAAGTGTTGCAATTTCCAGTGTTCCTCTCTCTCTCCCCGCACTGTTCATTCATCACAAAATGAAAGGAGCTCCATGCTGTAACAGAAATGAAGTCATACATCTAATAATGATAAGCAATAGTTCTGTAATATCTTTACACAGAAAGATAACTCCATCAATCTTCAAAAGGAATGCGTGTTTAAATAAGACAAAATAAAACCTTCCGTCCAGAGGAGGAACATGACTTGTACATACACATACAACTATTATTTCTGCACCAATTCTGGTTGCTAAAGATAAAGCTATTACTTTACCAGATGGGGAAAAGTAATAACCTGAAATCAGAAGAAAGGCACCCTAATTTTTTTTTTTTTTGAGCAGTAGCAATGAAGATTTTGTTAAAATCTCTAGCTATCCCAAAGTCAAAAGCTACAGCTTTGAAATCCTAAACAAATTTTCAAGGTATTTGCGAGAGCAATCCTATAATCTATCCATCTAATTTATTTTCATTATGCATCACCAGGAAGCAAAGAGTATTTAACATGGTAATCCACTGTACTTATTTACATTTAGCAGCAGACTCTAATCCAGTCACACCCCTGACGAAAAAAAACCCAAAAAACCCCAATCCAAAACAAACAAAACAAACCCAAAATATCCCACTGTTTTAACTTCAGTGCTTTATAATCATTATTCCAGACAGCTCTAGCCGCCTTATTCCTTGCTGCACTCTCATGGAGCATGCACACCGGATTGCCTCTCTTCACATAAATCTACTACAAACATGCTACATTTCTGTCCCTTGTTTTACAAAGGGATCTTCCCAGTGAAGAGAGGTTATAATGAAGAAACCTTCCTACAAAACATGCTCTCAAGAATGAGTTAGAACACGTATGTGTAGTAAGATCACGAGTTTTATCACCAAAGGTGTGCTTCAGTATGTCATTAGATCAGTTGCCATAGCAAGGTGGCATATATCAGGAATGAGGGTATCAGTGTGTATTTTACACAAAAGAACAACTCCTCGTGTGAACTCTGGACATCTGACTCATGGTAATAAAGTTTATGCAAGCCCTAAGATGGCAGGTATTCAAAAAATCCAGTTTTGATATACCAACAATAGGACTGATCATCAGCACTAACCTTACCCTCCTTTCCTGCTAAATGAATGTGACCAGACTCATGATTGAGTTGCCCATAAACAGAGCTGGTTCATCAGAAAGTAGTTTTATCTTTAATGTAATGTATAAATCACAACCATTATTTCAATCCCACATGACCTTCTTTTAAAAGAAGGTGCAAGCTGTGGCCTAAGCTATATTGTGTCCACTGATCATTTTTTACCATGATTTAATGAAATGCATACTTTTATGCAACTTTTGTGACAAGAGGAACTACTGTATTTAATCCAGAATAACATCAGTCCAATTTAACAGCAAAAATAGTTTTACCCTGTGATGAGAACAACCCTGGAAAAAGAAAGCAAGAAAAGCTCAACAGGAAATACAGAAAATACCTGTTACCTAATAGTGAAGTCGATACCCATTTGATTTCTCACTTCGGCAAACTAAAGCACATGAGAGAACTCAGTATTTGAAGAAGAACAATAGATACTTTAGTCACTGCTTTCTAGGCCACTTTCAGAATAAGCATTTTATCTAAAGTTGTAAATATGTCTATCAGAAATACTAAGGAATATTATTACTTCACTGTGTGCAGAATCCAAGATTAGAGCAGCAGCATAGGATATGCTAATCTTACAAATGATGACTACATAGGCACGCTGGCTCATTTAAGTGTCTTTGAAGTTGGCAGTACTAAGCATATCACTTCCGGCTTGTCAAGTGACGTCCTTTGATGGTTAAGCCTTTTTTGTGAGGCAATTTCAGAGATGGATTTTCAAAACACACTTAAAGCAATCCATGCCAGCAAAGTATTTTCCCAAAGAATACCCAGCTAGCTTCCCTTCAGGTAAGTGTTTAGATGACAGTATCATACTGCTATTAAAAGGTAGTAATATGCAAATGTAAATTAAAACATACTTAGCACACTGCATGGGTTGTTTGTACTACACATGGTTCTATCTGGCCTTTTAAATTTCTTTCAGAAGACTAAGGGGAAGACTGAACACTTAACTTCTGAACAATAGTAGCAAAGTCCAGTATACTAAATTAAAAAAGAAGCCTGGCACTTGAGTTTCCAACTAATGCAGTATGCAACAAGTGATGCCAGTTCATGATCCAAACTTTACATTACACCATTTTATCAAGTCAGCAACCTAAGGAAACAAACAAGACACTTACCTCAGAGTAAGCCAAGGTAATATGCTCATATATCCCTTGATGATGATGGATAGCATCTTCTAAATCTTGCAGTTCTGAGGGAAGCTCCACCTCACCACAGGCTTTACACCATGAGTCCACATTGCTCATGTACTGCAACAGAGAAAAAACATTCTTCTTGATTTTGGGTTCTATCAATAAGTACACACATGTTGGCAATATACAAAAGGACTGGCATCTGTGTGACAGCCACTGAAAAGACTTTTTTAAGGGAAAAATGTTTAATGTATTTCTCTCTGAACTGACCAAAATGAAGTTTATATCAGAATAGAACCAAATATTCAAGTCTGACTATACTTGTGCTTTTATTTATATGGAACTCTCCGTGCTGTTCAGAGACAGGCAGGCTTAGTTGTATGTTGGCAGCCTTCAGAACCAATTGGCAATTTGGTTGGCAACTGCTGGCAATACTGATGCTTCAATTTTACCCTTGCTTGTCTTGACTTTGCAGCTAAGAAAAAGTTTACTTCACCCTGCACCTACCATTTCAGACGCATGAAAGCCAATTAAAGTCTTGTCTACACAAAGAGGTAAAACATGCTACAACTTTCAAGTCCAGACCCTCAGCTCTTACCCATAGCTGTCTTTTGCTGGAAAGAGATCATCAAGGAGGCAAAGCAGTGTTAGAGCACAGCAAATTCACACCTCAGTCCCCAAAGTACTAACTTCTACACGCAGAGAAGCACTAAATCCATCTGGCAAGCTACTACAGCAGCAATCGTGTAAGGGATTTAGAACTTAAGCAGGGTTCTCTTAGGACTAACGCTGAACTTGGAGCACACAGCTAAGTCAGCATAGCTGCTCAAGTCAAGCTTTTCAGGGGAAAATGAGGATACTGCAACAGAATCTCTTCTGCAGACAATTTAAGTTATCTCTGAAGCTTAAGCTGTCTTGACAGACAAGAAACTGCCTTCATAGCTGTATGCACAACAAAAGTTCTGTCAACTTATTTTTGACAGCTAGGGGGCATGAATTTTATACCCTCATTATGCTAGGAAAGGAAAGAGGAAAAAAGAATCTGTTTTTCTAGTTTTCACAGCTATTAAACTTAGTACAGCCAAGCACACGTGGTATCTGTAAACTAAATTTGTCCTCTATTCATGTCAAGTTCACGTCTCAAAAGTTTCAAGAGACCAAGCCATTTCTCTCATCATACGTATCTTAATTCCTGGAGCACACGTAGTCTTTTGAGGAAAAAGTAATCCACAGACCATTTCTGGTACTCCATTATTGTTGGAAAGCTGGGAGAAAGGGTGATAGAGTACTTAACTCTGAGATACTTATTTCATTCTCATTTCATCAAGGGACAATTTTTAAAGTCTCTAACTTTAAGCACTGAACATCAAAAGAAGGTCCATGGGGGACCACAGAGCTACACCTCTTGCATCAGTCAGCAGGCACTGATAGCTGGGTGCAGTCTTCGCTGTGTACGACAGTGGGCAGCGACACTTACCTGTCACTTTCTCTTTCCTCCTGTTTACACTTACATTTAGTGCTGAAGAAGGTAACATCGACCCTTACCATAGTTGCCCAGCACACACACACACACACAAAATTTACTCCCTTGACTTCTGATGAACATTTTCTTATGAAACAGGACAGCATTTGAGTCAGGGTATACCTGATCTGTTCATGTTTCACACTCTCTCTCCTACATGTATGGCTGACAGTGCTTAAATGTAAACCTGAATAACCCAAGCAATTAGAAAAGCTGATGAGGTACCACACGGTGTCTATCAAATGCTTCAAGCTGGCTGGTGACTTTTATACCAGAAAACAATTCCTTTGTCTCCTTTTTATGTGGCTTTTCTGTAACACCTGCTAAAAATACTTATTATAGTGGCATCGGTTTATATACTTTACCTTAGTCTAAGGACAGTTAAACCAATGTCACCGCTAACATAATGAAAAGCAATGTCTATTTGCATCTTAATGCATTCACATTTCTAATTTCTGGACATTTATGAAGTTGAGTATCTGTGTAGTAGAAATCAGGAAAAAAACTTCTTAAAATAAAGTGTGCTGCCTCTCTCTATTTCTGCAGTTATCAACTCCCAAGTGGTTCCTTCATTTAGTTCAAATTAAAGTTATATCAGACATGAGACCTTTTCTTGGATCCAATTTAGCAACGCAAATGGGAAGAAAAGTATCTACAGCAGCCATACAGCACACCAGAGCTTCAGTCAGCTATAACTATCCAAGAACCTCTGCTCTCCAAATTCAGCAGAGATGTACAGAGCAGTCAGTCTGTAATATCAATGGGTGACTCAACAGCACACACATAGCAACTCCTTCAGAACTGAATTCCCTTGAGGGGAAAACATGCTTTCACCATCCAGACTATTAACTCGGGGATATTTATTCCTACTTCCCCTACATACACCTCTTCTCCGGCAGTTACACACGGTTAATGACTTAATTAAAATAATTGGTATAGGCCTAAAGCTAAAATTTTTGTTTAATATAGGCAGGAATCGGCCTAAAGCTAAAATTTTTGTTTAATATAGGCAGGAATCTTTTACGTGATACTAAGTAAACATCTCCCACCACAATTTCAGATTCAAAAGACAGTTAATTAACTTCTCAACTTTCAGGCCAGTTCAACTTAGTTTTCTATAAGCAATTACTGTGAGTTAAATCTTGACACTCAAGGACTGATTGGAGTGGAGTGTTGAGGACAATAGAACAAGTGATGATTTCTGGATGTAGGAAAGGCGCAATATCGATACTGACTATACTAAGTTTTTTTCCTTTCTTTCTTTCAACTTAGAAGCTTCATAGAGTTACGCATTTCTGTCCACTTCATTTTGATTCATATAGCTAATTTGGCTAAATTGTATCTTGCATTCATATGGGCAAGGCATTTTGCAGAGAATATAAAGGCAGCAGGCTGTCCTGGGGAGAACAAGTTTTTGTTTGAGTACTAGCTGAAATTGGCAGAAATGAATGCTCTGGCCTTTTCAATCACTCTTGTACTTCTGTCTAAATCGAAAGCAAACAGTACAACTCACCGTTACAGCACAGAACTTTTGTTGGTGCTTTCCCCGTTCACTAACCTGTTCAGCTTTCTGATGGAAGATGGAGGACATATCCAGTAACGTGCTACGTTCATCCAAGGCTGCAGCAAATGCCTTCCATTCTTGCTCCAACTGACTAGCAATCTGTTTTATTTGCTGTGAAGCATAATGGCCAGACTCAACCAGGCGATTTGCTACTGACATGATGCGGTTTATGTTTACATACACATTCTATAGAGAAGAAGGAAGGAAAAATTAGCGGAAGTTAGCAGATCACTTAAATACAGATGTATACTTGCATAAAATTCTTCTTTATTACAGTACTGCTTAATAGACTGGTTTTATTTGCCAAGTTTGTGCCTGCCTAACTTTGGAATCTAGGTGTATAATGTAACAGACTACCTGTATTACTGACAAGGGAGAAGGACAACTTGAAATGACCAGAGAGTCTCAAGCTAACGTTAACGGTCAGCTTAAACAAAGTCATATTATATGAAGACCCATTATTACAACAGAAGAGGAAAAGCTAACCAAATTTTGCAACAGCCTCAATAAGAATGTTTACAAACGTTCAAGTCAACAAGACATTCAGACACACACAATACAGGAAAATCAAAGTATAATTAGCAAGCACTTGATCTACCCATGGTATGCCTGTGTGCAACATCACTCTACAAATCCTTACATCAACTTCTGAAAGCATTTCTACTTTTTAAGTAACGAAACACAGAACTCTGAGTTCTAAGGAGTTCCAACAGTTTTAGATTTTATTTTCCTGCGACTATATTGCCTCAGAGCTAGCACTGAAATATAGACAAATAAGGTCAAAGATCAGAAAGATTCTCCAGCATACTGGCATTACTCACTGATGGCTCTTAGTCACTCTAATTTTCTTTCCTTTTAGCTCACATATGCATTTTGGCTTAAAGTGTCTAAAATCTGTTCCTGTTCTGATTCTGTATGAACAAACAATATTTTTCAAAGGAAGCAATCAAGAACTTCTCATTCCTGCAAAGCCAGAAACAAGAACAACTTCACCTCCAAAAGGTTTCTGAGTAGCTCTTCCAGAGCTTCATGTATATAATGCTGAGTTGACACTTCTTTCAATTGGGCTGACTCTAATACATCTAGAATGAAGCACTTGGAATCACGGGATTTTTGAGGCTGGACATCATCTAGTCCAACACCCCTGCTCAAAGCAGGTTCAATCCAAGCAGATTGCTCGGGGTCACATCCAGTGGGGTTTTGAGAATCTCTAAGGATGGAGAGACCACAATCTCTCTGGACAACCTGTTCCAATGTGTCTTATGTTTAAATGGAATTTCTTGTGTTTCAACTTGTGCCCATTACCTCTTGTTCTGTTACTGGATACCATAGAGAAAAGTCTGGTTCTGCCTTCTTTACTCCCTCCCATCGGATATTTATATTTTTATACATGTAAGTTCCCTCCTAAGCTTTCCTTTATCCAGGGTAACCAATCCCAGCTCTCTCAGTCTCTCCTTGTACAATACAAGCATGCCATACAGGTTCTTCAGAGAAGAACTTGGTCATGGTGACTTCCCAGAAAAGGAATGAGAGCTTTCCACATAATGCTGTCCTGTAGGCACGTCCTAATTTGTGTGGGTACACTTGGAGCAACCCAAGTTCAGCCCTGTTTTGTTGATTATAGTGTCCCTTTTGCTCACATCACAGCAGACCCTTTGCTTGCCAACCCAGTCCACCACTTCTTACTTGATTGTTGGTCCTCTTCTCCCTCTCCCATCCTTCTTAACCTAAAGCTCTTCTTATCAGGTTGTCCAGCCTGCTGGCAAAGATACTTTTGCCCCACATAGTCAAATAGCAATCCTTGATCCTCAGAGGGTCCCATGGTTGTAGAAACCAAAACCCTGTTGCCTTGTTGACCTGCAAGATCCATCTACCTTCTCACCAGCAGGATTGAGAAGAAAACCACCTGGACTCCCATGCCCTTGACCATTGTGTCTGGAGCCATGTAGTCACGCTTGAGACTTTCCAGGTCACCCTGGCAGTATGGCTGGTGCTCACATGTAAGAGCGGCAGGGGGCAATAGTCTGAGGGTTGGACAACCTTTGGCAGTCTTTCCACAACGTCCCAAATCAGAACCCCCAGCAAGCAGCAACCTTCCATAGAGAATGAGCCACGTTGGCAGATGGGGGTCTCTGTTCCCTGCAGAAGGGAGTCTCCCATTACTATCACTTGGCTCTTCCTTTTGGTGCTCCTGTGTGGCTCAGACTCAGATGGCACAGATGCTTTATTTGATAGCTCCCAGCTCCTCTTCAGCTGTGAGGCCAGTGAACCTATTCAGTCGCTGCCAATCTTCAGGTGGAGCAGAAACCTTCCTCCTAGTGCCAGAAGCCATTATCTTCCAACCTTCATCATCACGGGAGTCTCCACTTCCCAAACAGACAGGCACAAACTCTGTTTGACCCTCCTCCCTTCAGTACAGTTGGTAGTTTGGGCTCTTGAAGCTGCAGAGTGTTGGAAAAGATCTGGTCAATCTCCTTCTCATTATCTCTGATGCTGTGCAGACTGCTGACCTCCTCCTGCAGCTCCTTTACTTGGTGACACAGATCCTTAATAACTGCACACCTCCTGTGGGCAAGGAAACCAACTCCTGCTGCTGCCTCCTTGACAAGAGAACACAGGCACTCCCTGCAGCCCCAGACCTGCATCCTCCTTCTGGAGCTCCCTCGGGGTTAAGGCCTCTGATATTACAGGGATAGTCGGTCCAGCAGCAGCTGGGGAATGTGCCGTGGGGCACATCACCACCATTGCTGAGGACATGGATGCTGTTCTAAGCACAGTTGCTGGCCCCTTCTACATGAACTGCAGCGTGAACTGCTGCATCTGTTGGCTACTTCCGTTAGCTGCACTCGTTCTTGCCTATATCCTAAAAATTTACATGTGAGGCTAAACTGCCAAACACTATCACACAGAACGGTTGGGAAGAAAACAACAAACACCATTAAAATCTCAACATTCTGCAGTGAAATATTTTTCCCTCTTGTCCACGCAGTGCTTTCTGGAATGCCAGCACGCAGGAAACGCCCCAGAGCAGTTAGCTACCTGTCAGCAGCAGCACCACAACCTTCCCTGATCAAGGGTTGAGGAACTCAGTCCAGTGAGCCAGGGGGACAGAACTGCCTGCAACAAGCCTCAGTAAAGGCCACAGATCAACAAGTGACAGAAGAACAACACCTGAAATTGCTGGAAAACTGTATGGTTATATTACTGTTGACAAATGTGATGGGCAGTCTGTGCCAAAATCTGACTATACCCCTGCCAGTAAGAGAGGTTGGGGAGAACGCTGGCACATGGACACCCACCGCCACATAGATACTGAGCATCTGGGGTGGAACCATTACCTGTTGGCATCGAGCCACTGCCCAGAGCCTGACACTGACTGGCTGAAGCAAGTGTTGCAGTTCCTCCAGGATTCACTGTGCTGACTCATCTGAGTGCTAATTGGCACAGGTTTCTATTAATTATAACTGTATGCACGTATGCAAGCAGGAGCATACCTGACACAGCCTAACTCTCAGCTGGTTCACTTAATAACTTGAGCACCGCAGTGTCATGTTGGCTGTTTTTCCTTCCTGCACAATACTACCTTTTCATTTTTCATTCACGCATCTATGCACTCCTCTTAAGCACAGCCGAACAACTGGGAGAGAACAGAACTGCTATTTCCAACAAATTTCAAAAGACTGGAGACCATTTAGGCCTATTAAAGTGTATGTAGCATAAATACAAGACGGCTAAATGAATCCAGAAAACCATTACATGATCTTTACAGTGGTGTGAAAAAAACAAGCGTTAAAAGAGAAAAGAATAAAGGCTATATTAGACTTCCATTTGAACTGTTTGTGTATCATAATAAAGGAATTTTGGAAATTCTGGAACATCAGTTAGATATGAAGGACAGAGCACATAAATATGAAGAAATCAAGACTGAGCTGTGGTTAAAATGCATTCATTTTCCCATGGAAATCTGGCTTCACAAGTGTGGAAGAATACCCCCTGCAGCAGTATGAATATGAATTAATATGCTGACAGTTGAACACTTTCCAAGCTATGTATATCACATTCCTTTCCTCAAAAAAAAAAATCTTATAATAATCTCAACCTTCCCTGCCCCGCCCCCATCATATCCCTCACTACCTGATATATCTACTAAAGGTTTAAGTTTCGGTATTTTCGAATGCAATGACCCAAAAAAGACAGATTTAGTTAAAGAGGAAAAGAATCTCAAAAAGCAACTCACTACAATTGGACTGTCTTTAACTGATCCTTGAAGGTTAACAAATTTTGTTTAATTTTCTAAAAGGACAGGCAGGTCCACTGTCATTACTATATGACAAATGCGTATTTTGTGCTCTGCTTGAGAAGTACTGTTCCAAGTAAGCTGGTGCTCATTCCCCAGGGACTGACGTCTTACTCATTGCATGGATTTACATCCTGGTTTTAGTTAAAGAAGCAACAGCTATCAGGCAATAACTGTTAAAGACTTATTCAGCCATCTCATTTACATCATGGGAATCTGCATGAAACATCTGCAACTTCTAAATGTGTATCAACTGTCTAAAAAGTGAAAGGCTAAAGTGATACTGCATTTCTTCCATTGTGTTACACATTGCTATTGTAACAAAACTAAAAAGGGAACAATTCAAGTTACTGCATTACAGTACATATAGTAAGCACACGAATGTACTTAGTACGATTATTTTCTCTCACAATGCCCTTTAGCCAGAAGCTGAAAAGATACCTTACAATATCTGGAAAGCTCCTCATTGCAGAATTATTCCCCAAAGGGAGTGTACATATAACAAAGTATTGCTCAGCAAGGCAACACAGATTAGTAGCCTAACACAAGCGGAGGTGCACTGTGTCATTCTTTGGTGTTTGCCTGAAAGGCAAGTACACAGGGGAAAACATAGGTGACAGCCTGCCAACTTAACTGAACTTCTATCACACTCAATACAAAATAAAACTGGCAGATGCCCTGAAGGTTCTATTTTATTTCCTGATTTTCCCAGACCCATTTAGAAAATGTTTGCTTAGCTCTAAGATTTCAAACAGTGGTTTCCTGACACAGAGACTATGAAGCATTCAGTGTTAAAAACAACCACCTCAGTGACATGGTCCACAAGCATCATAATTGGCACCTCTATATAGACTGTAGTGAGTTTGAACTATTCATCTGTGATGGAAAT